AGTGGACGCTGCTTGAGAAGGAGGTTTGGACTAGTCGACCCACAGAGGTCCCTTCCAACCCCTACTATTCTGTGATTCTGTGATTCTGTGAGACCGCAGCGGCCCACTTACATCTGTCTGTACCATCTGGCAGCGCTGAGCCCGGATCCGGCTCACGAAGCCGTAAACGTCCACCTTCCTCTCCGCGTGCATCATGTCCAGCATGGCATCGATGACGATGAAAGTGCCCGTGCGTCCTACCCCGGCGCTGGAAGGGCAGAGGGGACAAGGCGTCAGTACAGCAGTGCTGGCGTTGGGGTCCCTGGTAGAGCGGCTGGGAGCCAGCCAGCAGCTTCCCAGCAGTGAGTAAATAGCAAAATCTGTTCTGGAGATGAGAGAGGTCCTCGGCCTGGTGTTCAGTGTCGCCTGGGTTTTGCGCAGAGATGCACACAGCATCTCCAGCAACTGCAGTGACTGGAATGCGTGAGGGCACAGAGCAGGGTGAGCCAAAGCAAAAGCTGGGCCAGCTACTGCTTCCAGCTTCCTACGGGCTGCCTGCTCCTACCAGCTGCCCGCTGTCCCTTCCAGTCCACCTCCATCACATGAAGGTGAGCCCGTGGGGAAGCCTTGCTTCTGCACTGGTAACTCAACCATTAAGGAGAATAAGAAAGATGAGGCTGTGCAGACGCAGAGGCAGTGGAGGTCCCATCCCTGGAAACATTCCAGGCCAGGTTGGACGGGGCTCTGAGCAACTTGATCCAGCTGAAGATGTCCCTGCTTGCTGCAGGGGAGTTGGGCTAGACGGCCTCTAAAGGTCCCTTCCAACCCAAAGCATTCTATGTTTCTATGGATAGACAGAGCTCTTCTGTCAGCTGCCTCCGGAGAAGAAAGCTGGAGATGGACTTGGCAGGTTGCAAACGTGATCATTTCTGCCTTTAACTGTGAGGCTTTCCCTTACTGAAAGGTGGAAAGCCTCCGTGGCTCCCCCAGGCTCACTGCTGTGCCTGAAGCCACTCCACATGAGGGCAAACACCGTGGTCCCCGCCACCAGGCACGCTGCCAGCTGAGTGCTGCCTTCTCGCAGCAAGGGATGTTGCCTCTCTCGTGCCCAGGGCAGTGGAGAGCCAAGGGAGATGCCACCAATGCCCGGCAGCAGTGCTCGGCCTGGCTCATTTGGCACCCAGTTAACCCAAATGAAGGCCACTCAACACGAGCTGTAACACCATCACATCGCTGATCCCAAGAAGTTCCTCCAATTCACACGCATTTTTTTTTAATGTTCCCATGTGAAATGTTTCCATTTAACATGAGAAAGTTAAATAAAAATAATAAAAACGGCCTCACTGAAAAAAAAATCCTTTTAGTATCAAATACGAGACACTCTCCCAGGCACCCGGGAGAGGTAGAGGTCAGCCACGACCAGGACTTACCTGCAGTGCACGACTATTGCCCCTGCGTACTGGGGATTGCACGTCTTCACCTTCTTCAGGAACTTCAGCATCCCGATGGGGGTGAAGGGGACCCCAAAGTCGGGCCAGCTGGTGAAGTGGAACTGAGTCACCAGGCGCTGAGGTTTCTTGTTCGTGACGTCGCCGACCTGAAGGGGAAACGCGCAGTCTGGTTAATGATAAATGCTCAGATTTCCCTTCTTTCCTCCCCTCCCCAAAAACGAGGGAAGAGAGGGAGCTACAGCCTCAAGATTGGGCTCGCCACTTCAAGAAAGATGAGGAGCTACTGGAGAAAGTCCAGCGCAGGGCTACGAGGATGAGGAGGGGACTGGAGCATCTCTGCTACGAGGAGAGGCCGAGGGAGCTGGGCTTGTTCAGCCTGGAGAAGAGAAGGCTGTGAGGGGACCTTAGAAATGCCTCTAAATATCTGCAGGGTGGGGGTCAGGAGGACGGGGCCAGACTCTTTCCAGTGGTGCCCAGCGACAGGACAAGGGGCAATGGGCACAAACTGAAGCACAGGAAGTTCCAGCTGAAGGAGGAAGAACTTCTTCCCTCTGAGGGTGATGGAGCCCTGGCCCAGGCTGCCCAGGGAGGCTGTGGAGTCTCCTTCTCTGGAGATATTCCAGACCCGCCTGCACACTGTGCAGCCTGCTCTGGGTGACCCTGCTTGGGCAGCGGGTTGGGCTGGGTGACCCTCAGAGGTCCCTTCCAACCCCGACCATTCTGTGGTTCTGTGAGCTAGACGGCGTAAGAAGCATTAGTATCCACAAGCCGAAAGGGCACGGGCAGAGGCTCTGGGCCCAAACAAGTCTCTAAAAGCATGACATTTTAATTGTCCAGCATCACATCCTGCATCCTAGGGGTGAGAGGTGCCAGCCCGGCCTCGGCTGTGGCTCTGACCCGGCAGAAGCTGCCGGATTTCATTCCCAGCGGGCTCGAACAGAAGCCGCCGCTCCATCCTTCCCCACATCTCTGCCCACAGCATCCTTGTGCTGAAGGCAGGGGAGGAAACCACCCACGTCCAGGCTGTTGAGATTGAAGAGTGAGGCTCAGGAGAACCCTGCTCAGGGTCCAGACAGGTTTTCAACCGCCAGCTCTTCCTTGCCTGCCTTCGAGAGCAGCAGGAAAACAAACAGCGACTAAACCATCCAGAGTCTCCTCCTCGGACGACAAAACGTAGCGACAGATGGGAAAGCAATCAGAACCAACGCATACGGCGCTGGATTTTGTCTCGGCTCGTGGGATAAACATGATTATTTGCAGGCATTAAGTATCTGGGGGTGAGAGTGGGAACAGAGACTGCTAATGGCAAGTGACCTGAATTTCAGCCCTGGCACCCACCAGCTTCTCTGCTCTCCGAACAGCCACGCTGGCACCCGCTGGGAACGGGCTCCCAGGTGTTTAAGGTGAGGCATTTCTTAACAGCTCTGGTTAAAAATGGATGCTGGGGTCATTGCATCCCAACTCTGCTCTCATGGCACCTCGGAAGAGTTGAGGAGCACACCAGTGCCTGCTGGACGCCCAGTGTGGAGATGGGAGGGGTGGGATGGGATGGGAGGGGATGGGATGGGG